CATGACTCAACGCCGAAGGCGCACGGAACGCTGTTCCCTTCCCACCAAAGGTGGTTTCTATTTTTCTACTTGCATTTTACTTGCTTTCGAACTGCTAGGTTGGCAGAAGCTGGGACAAGTCACGGGAGCTCACTCCCTTGCGTGGCGCTAGGGATTCGAACCACCGAGTTTTCTAATCAACAAGCTCAGTGTCTTAGCCACTGAGCCACCACATCCAAAACTGAGTGACCGTGTCCAAATCACTTTGGAAAGGGGAATCTGCAGCTATCAGAGACTGGCAAAGCCCAGAATCTCTGTGTCCTACAGCTGGGGAGGATGGGGCTTGTAGTGACTCCCTCTCTGAATGAGAAAAGCCAGCCTGGTCTGCTGATGTCTCCCCCAATCCAATCTAGGTGGAAACACGCACCCCAAGTCCGATCCGTCTTGTAAGCGACTCCCCCTTTCCCTCTTCACAACCCTGCTGGAAAGTCGTGCATCCAATCAGCAAAGGCAGCTAAGGGATGGGAGTTGTAGTGCATCCCCATCAAGATCAAGAGCCTTCTCTCCCCCATCCACCCCCCACCACTACGGTCTGCTAACCCCCCCCTTCCCCATCCGATCTAGCTGCAAACCTGCCTTATCAGCCTTGTGTTCTCCACCGCCTGCCCTCCCTAACAACCCTCCTGCAGGGTCGTCCATCTCATCAGCAAAGGCAGCCAAGACAAGAGGATGGGAGTTGTAGTACATCCCCCTCAAGATCAGGAAAGAACCTGGCCTAATGGGATCCAATCCAGCTGGAAGCACATATACCCCAATCCTGATCCCCCTTGGAAGGGTCTCCCTTATCCCCTCTCTAACCACCCCTCCTGCAGGGTCATCCACTCCCATCCCATCAGCAAAGGCAGCCAAGCTGAGATGATGGGAGTTGTAGTACACCCCCCTCAAGATGAGAAAAGAGTTTGCTGTAAAGCCCACTTCCAGATCCGATCCAGCTGGAAAGACACGTACACCCCAAATCTGGATCACCCTTGGAAGAGTCTCCTTCTCTCTCCCCCCTCACACACCCACTCTTAACAACCCTCCTGCGGGGTTGTCCATCCCAACAGCAAAGGCAGCGAGGACAAGCGAATGGGAGTTGTTGTACACCCCATCAGGATCAGGAAAGAGCCTGGTCTAAAGCCCACCCCCAGATCCGATCGAGCTGCAAACAGTAACAGAGTCGGAAGGGACCTTGGAGGTCATCTAGTCCAACCCCCTGCTCATGCAGGAGACCTCTACGAGGGATTCGAACCCCCAGATCTTTCTGATCGACAAAGCTCAGCCTCTGAGCCACCTAGCCAGGCGACCACACTCACCCCAATCCTGATCACCCTTGTGAGGGCCTCCCTTACCCCCATTTCCCCCCTCTAACACCCTTCCTGCAGGGTTGTCCATCCAAGGCAGCCAAGACCAGACCCTCAGAGGATGGGAGTTAGTTGTAGTACACCCCATCAAGATCAGGAAAGATCCTGGTCTAAAGCCCACCCACCCCCCAGCAGGAAACAGTAACAGTCGGAAGGGACCTTGGAGGTCATCTAGTCCAACCCCCTGCCCCCTCGACTGGGGATTCGAACCGCCCGACCTTTCTGAGCGACAAAGCTCAGCCTCTTAGCCACCTAGCCAGGCAACAACCACACGCACCCCAATCCTGACCCCCCCTTGGAAGGGTCTCGCTTATCCCCTTCCCACCCACCCCCTCTAACACCCCTCCTGCAGGGCCGTCCCAAAGCAGCCCTGCTCATTTTCCCCCCCCAAAAAAAACCCCCATAAAATTGGACTCAGATCCACTGCGCCGGGCGCTGGAGGCTCCACCGAGGGAGGGTCGGCCCCGCCCACTCGGTTTGTCCGCCGCGCGCCGGCAGGGAAAGAGTTAACTCCTCCCCCTCCTCCTCCCTCCCTTCTCCCCCCTCCCCTCCCGCCAACGGCCCTAACGGCTCTCGCTACCCGCTGTTGATCTCCAGCGGCAAAGTGGGGTCTTCGCCCGGGATGGAGTCCATGGCGGGGCCCCGGGAGGCGGCGAGGGGGAGCCGGCTGGCGGCTGGCAGCGGCTGCGGAGGCGGCGGCGCCTCTTCTCCGTCTCCGGCTTTGGCGGCTGCCTCAGAATTTTAAACAACCGCAGCGGGCGTTTGGGACCGCCCCGGCCGCCATCTTGACGGCGACGCCGCCGACGCCGCCCGGAGAAGGGCAAAGGGGGCGCTTAAGCGCAGGGAGCCGTCCGGGCGGCCATTTTGAGGCCGGGCAACGCGTTGAAGAAGCCCGTCCCGGCGCCATCTCGCTTGAGGCGAAAAAACAGAGGTGACACGTTGGGGGACGTCACGTGGCGGTTTGACATGGCCGGGTGCGCCTGCGCGGTGAGAGGGAGTGAAGGCGCGTAGGCCGGGCGCCATCTTTGTCGAGGGTTTGGTACCCAAGAAGAGGGGAAAAAAAGGATGGGCTAATTAAGATGCTTTAGGAATTGGTGATGGAGATGCTAATTAAAGTCAAATTGGAGGAGGAGGACACATCTCCAAAACTAGGGTGGGAAGGGGCAGGCCAAGCCCAACAAGTACAGGAGCTTCTGGACCACAACTCCCATTCTCTATTTCTCCTGCCTATCCTGATGGGACTTGGAGTCTCCCCACGTGTCTTTTCTCATGGGACTTTATTCATGTGAAATGAATAAAAATTATTTTTCTTTAAAAAAAAACTCAGATGCTTGGCAACGGACTCATGTTTATGACAGTGTGCAGCGTCCTATGGTTGCGTGATCCCCTTTTTGCGAACTTCTGACAAGCCAAATCCATGGGGGAATCCGGATTCACTTAGCGACCGTGTTACTGATTTAACAGCTGCAGTGATCCGCTTAACAAACGTGGCAAGAAACGTCGTAAAATGGGGCAAAACGCACTTAACAAATTTCTCACTTTGCAACATAAATCCTCAGGGTTTGGTGGTGGTCATAAGTTGAGGACTAACTGTACATTCTTTCTCTGCCCGTGGTTTGCAGCTTCCTCTAGAAACGAGACACAAAGGCGAAGTTGCACGCCATAAAAATAAACTTATAAACAGCCCAACAGGGTTAGATAACAAATTATCTACATTTTATTTGTTGTTTAAATAACATTCTTCAGTATAAATTCCAGGAAAATTCAGGTCATACTCTCACACACATTCTGTACACACTCTTCCACGCAGAGAAACATATTTTCCCCTCAAACGAATGCATTTCATAAGCCGAACAAATGCTTAGGATTAAAAAGGCCCGCCCAAAATATAGTTGACGTGTCATGTTAGAAACTTGCATTCAAGCTGTGCAAGTTGAAATCTTATTGCAAAGAATTAGAGGCATAAATGTTGCAAGATTATCCAATGTTTAGAGGGTTGCATTAACAGATATTCCAAGCTTCTTTTAAATGGATTCTGTGTGTGGGATGTAGAGTCTATTTCGCACATCCTTAAGTGTCAAAATGGGCTTGGCAAACCATGCTAAAATGATTAACGGTTCCCTTCGCACATATGTGCTAGTTGTTCCCGACTCTAGGGGGCAGTACACATCTCTGTTTCAAAGCCAAAGAGCCAGCACTGTCCGAAGACGTCTCCGTGGTCATGTTGCCAACATGACTCAACGCCGAAGGCGCACGGAACGCTGTTTCCTTCCCACCAAAGGTGGCTCCTATTTTTCTACTTGCATTCTTTCGAACTGCTAAGTTGGCAGAAGCTGGGACAAGTTACNAAATGCCAAATAAACCTGTAATATGTATCTATGTATCTATGTATATTTAAAAAAGATATTTTCAATCATTTTTTATAATTTGTTTTCCAAGAACCCGCAAATAAATAAATTTTTACGTCCGTTATGTAGTTCAGATTTGGAAAATAATTGCTTTTTATGAAGGATTAAATAGCTTCCTGCAGTTTTAGATTAGAGGTACCAAAGAGTCTTCACTGTGCAGAAATATACAAAAAGAAAGTGAACTTTGGGGCAATTTGGCAAAAGCAACAAATACTTTGGAGCTGAACCAAAATCTCCCATAACAATTTTGTTTTTCTTTTCCTGGGTTTGGGGAAAATGTTAATAAAGCCCATGAAGGCTAGATTTGGGTTTAAACTACATTAATTATACTATCATTTTTCTTTTTTCTTTTTCCAGCTTGAAAACCCACAGAGATAGAAATCGCCATGCATTTTTTAAAAAAATGCAGTTTGAGATAAATTCTTGGATGTTCAAGGTATTAAACCACGCGCTTTGTGCTTCGCAAAAGGGATTGTGTAATTCTCCAAGAATTTGTTTATTTTTTTCCCTCCTCCTGGATGGATTTTTGACAATCACTTAGAAGAAGCAACATGAATGCAACAAAGTTTCCGGCGCACGCTTAATTACTTCCCTTTTGATTCTCTTCCAAGTATTGTTTGTTTTATTTTTGTTTTACTTACTTAGATAAATGGCTCGAAATGCAACAATGTGTGTTTAGGTCAGTCTGTAAAGTTTTGATTTAAGTTGCACTTAAAGGGTTTTTTTTTTTCTTAAAGAGTTTTTGGGTGAAATTTTTTTTACCTCCACCGCCTCCCACTTGATTGCGAACCTCGTCTCCGGAGACATCTGGAAGCCGGGAAAAATTGAGGCTGGAAAGCAGGAAGTTTTAAAAAATAATCAAGCTGCAGGCACCAAGCTGTATGCCCTCCACCTACCCGCTTTTACAGCCCAGGATTACATGTCCCATCAGCGGAGGACCAATGGGGTTTGAGAATATCTGGATAGAGGCCCCCGTGGCTTATCCAGTCTCTGCAATAGACAATATTTCTCCACCTTCCTTCATACGTGCATTTAAATAAATAAAAATGAATTTTCCGACTTTGGCTTCCCTCCCCTCTCCTGCACCTTCAAGGCGAGCGATGGGAGCTGTAGTCCAAAGATGCCAAGTTGAAGAGAGAAGGGTGCAAGAGCTAAAGGGAAAGGTTCCCCTCGGACATCTGTGCTAGTTGTTCCCGATTCTAGGGGGCGGTGCTCATCTCCGTTTCAAAGCCGAAGAGCCAGCGCTGTCCGAAGACGTCTCCGTGGTCATGTGGACGCCATGACTCAACGCCGAAGGCGCACGGAACGCTGTTCCCTTCCCACCAAAGGTGGTTNAATCTATCATGTCTGTCTATGTTTATCCATTCTATCTACCTACCTACCTACTTTCTCTCTCTCATTCTCTCTCTCACCAGTGAGGGAGATGACAGTGATAGTCATGCTTGCCTCTCAGCTGAAAGAACCCCTGGGATGTAACTCGGGGTTTCAGTCCATGCCAACCCTTTATCCATGGGAAGAGTGTAGTTGTTGCACACATTGACAAAGTGCCCTGATCCCAAGAACCATCATTCACACATGGTATTAGGCCTGATGCATGGATCACAACACAAGCCAAGCCACAACTAAGCCACAGCCAGAATGCAGGAAATCATCTACATGCAGAGCACATGAATCCAAGAAAATGAGTTGAGACACATTTGCATAATATGATCAATAAATTAAACATGTAGGGAATTCTCTCTCTCTCTCTCATTCTCTCTCTCTCATTTTCTCTCATTCTCTCTCTCTTTCTCTCTCTCTCTCAAGAGACTCTCTCTTTCTCATTCTCTCTCTCTTTCTCTCCCTCTCTTTCTCTCTCTTTCTCTCTCTTTCTCTCTCTCATTCTCTCTCTCTCCCTCTCTCAAAAGGGATGTAGGAAAAACAATTCTTCCTTGACTTCTCATCATGCACATGCATTGAACAAAATCCAGATGTTCAGGCTGGATTGAATTTGATTTTCCCCCTTCTTTCGTCCTTCCACTTGCCCAAATCTCCCTGCTTCTGGTTCTCCACTACTGCCAGGCGTAACCAAGTATTTAAACTCAGGATGTATCTCCTTGGTGGTCCTGGCTACCACACCTATTTGCAAGGAAGCCAACAGGTATGGCTAAGTACAACAGGTAGAGATTTTGCTCTGAGGAGAGCAAGTTAGCAACTAGGACAAACCAGGTGGTACGATTCTGAGTCCCCTCCTTTTGTCTGATTACCTTATGTCCTATCACTGGTCTATCCAGATTGGGCATCAAATGGACAAGATAGGGGATGAGCACTGAATTGCAAAGTCTGTTGCATTTTGTACCAGCTTCACCTAGAAGTTCAAAAAAGGTCTGATTCACCACAATGCTTTATCTACCATCCTGCAGGTGATGTTCCTTTCATGCAGGTGCTCCAAAGGTGCTTTTTCAAGAGGCAACTGGACTTTCTGGTTTTTCCTCGAGGATGTTTCGCTTCTCATCCAAGAAGCTTCTTCAGCTCTGACTGGATGGTGGGGAATGGAAGGATTTATACTCCTTGCAGACAGCTGGTCATTTGCATCCTTTTTGGGGGTCGTTGAGGTCACCTGGAGGCTTCTCTGTGTCCTCAGGGTCACCTG